CTCTCTCTCTCTCTCTCTCTCTCTCTCTCTCTCTCTCTCTCTCTCTCTCTCACTCTCTCTATGTATATCTTATATAACCTTTCTCCCTCACTCTCTATCTCTCTCTGTCTCAACTATTCAGAGTTAATGCCCACTTTAACTCTTTCTCTCACTTTCTGTCTCTTACAAACTCTCTATACTATATATCTATCTCCCTTTCTCTTATAAAACCTCTCTCCCTCACTCTCTCTCTCTCTCTCTCCCTCTCTCTCTCTCTCTCGCTCTCTATCTACAAACATTTTCTGTCTCCATCTCTTCTCTCTCTCTTATCTAGCCTTTCTCTCTTTAGCCTTGATCCTTCATAGACATCACAGTTTCGGTGGGTTTAGGAAAATAGAAGCACCGGATTACACCAAGTCGGTAAATCCCATAGAGTTATCTCCTTTTTAAATGTACCTAGTAGTGTAAATCTATGGTAAATCCAAAACTTCCCACTTCCCACTTCCGGCAAAACAAACCATCCCCCAGATTATTTGGTTGACTGCGACAAGTCGAATTTAAAGCCAAACAAATAATAGGCTAGGCCGGGCTAAGGATAAGGCCTACTTAAAAAAAAACAACTGCTGGTTATAGACGTTGCATTGTGTAAAAAGAATGATGAAACACTGATGCCCTTTAAGGCAAGAAGTAAAAAATTTGGTTTCCAGGGAATTTTCATTTCTGACCCCTGGTCGAAGGGAAAGCCCATGTATGTCAAACTGAGCCAAGACCAAGGAGTTGACAGTAGTTCTTTGCTCCTTACTCTTGGCCAAGACCCTTAGCCAAGACACATATATCATGGTAGCCTTCAGAAATGTGTGAAAAAATATACATGACGGGGCTTACATTTCTTTTTTTGGATAGTCTAAGAAACACATCGATAAATTATTTATAATATAATTTCGTGTCTTCCACACTGATAGCACAGACATCACTTGGCATATAAATTTTAGCTGGAGTGGGCAGAATCTTTTTCTACTTTCACTTTCAACAGCATGCTAGTGTCCCTGGCAGGTGGCAACCCTGCTTCGACACCACGACGCGTCAAGACAGAAGACAACTGTGGATTGAGGATTGAGGATTGACTGAGCGCTTTTTCAGTGAGACGGCGTGAGAGACCCTCAGCCTTACCAAGGTCTTCTGTTAGGCTAGTTGTATATTGATCTAGATTCTAGATTCTAATTCTTTTCCGAGTGCTGTGCTATCAGTGAGTCTTTAGATTTCTGTGACCGTACTGAAGAGGGAACCGGGAAAATTTATCGAAATGCAGTCTTTAGCCTCCCGGTTGAAGCAGCTTCTGAACTCCACGGATCCCCACCAAGCCCAAAGCCAAAGTCCAAACACTGCCACCAACTCCACCAACGCCAACTCTAATGTTGACCATGCAGAAACGAAGTCAGAAAATGACCTCGTTGAGGTAATAACTTTTTTTTTCCAATTCAATGATCACAAGAATGATTGACTGTTGATGCTTGTTTCACGGTGCTGTTGTTACTGTTGTGTCTTCGACTGTCTCAAGATCAAAATCAATGTATTGTAAAGTAAAAAAAAGAACATTTAATATCTAATTGTTAATGAACACGCTGTTGTTATTGTCTAGAAATCTAGATTCTAGATCTAGATCTAGTAAGGTATCATGTACTGTGTAAGGGTAGACTAGGTAAATCTGACGGCCTGCCAAGATTTTTTCCACATTGTCATTGTCATGATCTGCAAGCAAATGCCACAAAATGAGGCTGTGGTGAAATCAGGCGCTCGTTAAAAAACCCCACTCAATATGACATTTTTTTCTCGATTATAATGATAACAAGAGCTGTTGGGAAGAGGCCACAGCTGTTGATTTTTTGTGCGATGCGATTTAAAAAGATTTAATTACAGAAAAACTAGATTTCTAGATCTAGATCTAGACTATCTAGACTAGATCTAGATCTAGATCTAGATCTATATCTAGATCTAGATCTATAAGACACAAGAACAAAATGAAATTAAACTCGTGGAAAAACAAATGGTGGTGGAAGTAATAATTATGATGCTGTAGTAGTGATGGTGGAAAGACCCTGAGTTGTTGGTTACCGTGTACTTAGACACTGCCATTGGGCAATGAGAGTGCAGTCTTTTGACTTTTCACACAATTACACATCCTTAAGTAATTCTAGTTTCAAATCTCTGGTTTTTCGTAAAATTCCCGGACGACAGTTATATTATGTAACCTCCTTACACTCACATTATAACTCACTAAGAAGCCGAGTCCGAATAAATAAAAATTTTTTTTTACCCAAGTCCGAATAGGTAAAACGTACCCGAGTCCGAATAGATAAAAAAATCTAATCGGACTCGAGTTGAAGTAGAGCTGGCCATTGAAGTTACCGAACAATGGCAACCATTTTCTCGTAAATCTTATCACTGAAACCAGGCGACCACACTTCCTTCAATTGCAATTATCTTACCACCTTTCAAGATAGAGATGGGTATTATTTTTAAGGCCGGCTCTATTTCTACAAACGTTCGGGAAAATAAACTTGAACTCTATTTCTCCGAACGGTTTCCATTCTCGAGATTTGTTGATAATTTAAG